CTCTCTCCAATCTCTTTCTCCAATATTTCCTAAATAAATGGCTAATTCCCCCTCCTCCCAAATTTTGTGGTTTTAAACTCAGGGCCACCCTAATAAGATAAAGATTTATTTATTTATTTATTTATTTATTTATTTATTTATTTATTACCATTAAGTAAATTTGAGAAGGAAAAAAAGTGCCACCAGCTCTAAAGGAAATACCAAAAGGTCATTAAATATTTTTTTGAACAGGGATTAATTTCTGAAATAGTGAAATAAGTGATGGTTCCCCACCATGGCTAATTCCAAGACAAGAGGCACCTAGAAGTATAGAGTTTGGTGTGTTTCATAAAAACAAAACAGCCTCCATACTTTACAATTATAGCTTGTGTTATAGGTTTCTTCCTAATGTGGAGATGTTGCCAAGGCAATAGCTTGGCAATCTTCTACGTGGCTGCTTTTCACATTAATCCACACAGGCTTCACGGATGTTAATCTTTATAACACACCTACATAGTCCATAGGGCAAAATACATACACTATTTAGTCTGTTTCTCATGGTAGGGAAAGAACATTAGGAGACAAGCTTTTGTGGTCTCCTTTCTCCTTTCCAGGACACACAGTCAGTGAGCAGAGCACGGATTGTTTGTGAAGTGGCCTTCGGACTTCAACCCAGGACTGTGGAGAAAAGAAAGCAGGACACCTAAAGGGAATATATGCAACAAACCAGATCAAAGCTGATGATCAGAGCTGGAAATTCTGCTGCTGAGACCAGGTGGAAGCCAGGAGGCAGAAACTGGAAAGGAACCAGAGCCAAAAGTCACAGTTAGCGAAGCTCAGGGCCAACACACAAGAGGAGCAATTAACAGGGAGCAAGAATGTCCAGAGTCAGCATTCAGGAACTGCCCTCATGACAGTTTTTCCTCACCCTGGATTGGGGCAACTCCTTTGGAAAGCATCCACCACATCTGGGCCTTGGGGTGCAATTAATCTTGGAGTCACTAGTCTTACACCATGAGGGTACAGGAGAGAAACAAGCTCATCATACCCAAGATGTCTCTGGAGCCATAAGTCTCACCAAGGTAGTATCATTGAGACAGGGCCTGGACTAGGGTGGGCGAGTAAGGTGCCTGGGGTGCCAAACATAGGAGGCCTTCGCTCTTAGGGTCACACGCATGCAGGTTGCTGAGGCTCTGAGAGGGGAAGGGCGCCTCCACGCCCAAGGCCTGGTCGCATTGGAACTGACATACCTGATGGTCTCTGTTTCCCTTTGACACTGGGCCACAAGTCCATTCCGAATCAGCCTGTGGAGCTAGCTCATGGTGTTTCTTGAACCAAAATACATGATGAATATTTGTTGCTTGCTGGCATTTAATAATGTAGGATGGATAAAAATAAACTAAATTAATGCAACAGAAAAATTTTGATTTACACCATGGCAAGGACATTTTTGCTTATCCTTTTGCTGGCCAAGAAGTTCTAAATATGTTCCAAGAATATATTTGTTTCAAAAAGAGCAGAGAGGAAGTTACTGAGAGACCCCAGCAAATGCTTGCTAAATGAGCGGCTAATGAATTAGAAATGAGGGAAAATGGGCCTCACGCGAACTCCACGAAAAGAGTCGGTATCCTTTATTTTAGTTTCATCAGGTAGCGAAAGCATCAAGCTTGCTTTATTTTTATATACTTTTTTAAACACCCTTTTACAGAAGGTGTAAGAAGTATTTGTATTAAGTGCCCACAAGTTTTTCCTCTGAAATTTATCATTTAAATCACTTTACGTGACTCTGATCCCAAGCAGGTAAGATGTTAAAGAAAGAACAAGACAACAGAAACGGTGTAAAACTTTACCCAACCATTTAAAAAAGGAACTTATTGGTTAATTTTGATTGGGGTTGATGGTGATGGTTTAGATTTATTCTAAATCTAAATAGGGGTTTCTTCAATTTTCCACTCAAGAAGTGATTTTTTTTCTTTCCTTTCTTCCCTACTGGGCTCCACAGATTGGGCTGTATCCTTGACCCTTCGGAGGCTGTCATCTGCCATCAGGATTTACCGCAGTTGACAATGTGCTTTAATGATTTATAAGGGATGGGGCTTATTTTGTGTTCCCCTTTTCTCAGTTGTCTCAGTGATAAAGGAAGATTAAAAACATGCTTTTTGTCACTGAAATAAATTGAGAGGAATCAGCGATACCCTAAGAGGAGTAATACATACTGAAGGAGTTACTGCAACTAAAAGATTTTCCCACCAGTACAAGACTGCATGAAAACCAACATAGCAGCATCTGTGGTGAGCCCCTGAACTTTGCTCTCCTGGGGACTGTACTTCAGCCTGCTCTCTTGCCTAGCCTCCAAAATGTGGGGTTGACAAATACTGAATGTACTGGCCTTCAAGTTTTAAGGAAGGGAAATTTAAGGACAAAATGCAGTTCTAAATTCAAGCACTCGCTATTTATAACCTGTGGCATTTGTTTGCTAATTATGCTAGTGAAATGTATAACCAACAACTAATATGCGTGTTTCTGTATGTCTCTTCAAAAGAAGACTATTTCTGAGTAGCCTCAGGCATTAGGGCAGGAAGGAGAGGGCCTAGCAGCTATAACTTCCAGTCTTTGAGGTCCAGGAGGAAGAGCCTCCTGGGGTCATGGCTCTGCTGCTTGTTTCTTAAATATTAAATGTAACAAGTTCTGTGTGGTGCTCAAATCCCAGCCTGGCCTCATCCCAGAGGAGCTCAGAGCCTGGGGGCGTATAGTGTCCTGACTTTGTTGACTGATTCTGCCCACTGATATTCAGCTGGGGAGGAAGAAAGGGACTCCTCCCTCAGGGAGCTCCTGGAGCAAACAGGACTGCAGCTCAAGGGCACTGCAAACCACAGTTCCCACAGCCAGTTTCAATACTCAGTTCCTTTCTGAAGCCAGTCACTAGACACACACCAGATGGTCACAGACTCCTCTAGATAAAGAATGTATTTACTTAGGTTCACGCAGAAACCAAAGAAGGGGCAAGTTAGTTGAGAAAATCCTTCACTGGCCCTTGCAACTGAGCAGAGAGCCATATCTGGTGCAGCCTGCTGGCCACTCCAGCCTTCTAATGCCCTGTACTCTTAATGCCCTTTTTGGACTTTGGATGCCTTGAATTTTCAGTTTGGTTTTGGCATTAGCTGTTTTCATAAATTTTCCTTCCTTGTAGTTTTCACATATCTCATGCCATTATTAAGAGTGTGTTTTGGATGGACTGGTCCTAGCAATTGAGTAAAAAATTATGGTCTTGAAGAGTATTTTCTTTTTTTAAAATACATCTTTATTGATTTCAGAGAGAGGAAGGGAGAGAACGACAGAAACATCAATAAGAGAGTCGTCATTGGTCGACTGCCTCCTGCACCCCCCCCAACTGAGGATCAAGCCTGCAACCTGGGCATGTGCCCTGACTGGGAATCGAACCTCAATCTCCTGGATCCTAGGCCTACGCTCAACCACTGAACCATGCCCAGCCGGGCTTGAAGAGTATTTTCAATTGGATATTACAAATTTCACTATCTGGAAATCAGCTGACATCTGATACATCTTTATATATCTAAATATGTAAGTGTACATTGATACATATGTAGATAGATAGATATATAGTTCTAGGTATAAAATATTAACTATATTTATTATGGTAACTTTAAGTAACTATATATAAAATTTAACCTTGATTCCACTTGGCTTTTGGCAATAAGTTGGCATCTATCTGTTTTTCACCGATTTGTCTAATGCACATAGTTAATAAATGAGTTTAGTGAACATAATTTTTCCTTTTGTTTTCTTTAAAATGCAATTTGAGATTGGAGTAAAACAGTAAAATCGATGGAGGTCCAGAACCTTCCATAAATTTTAATATGATAAACATTTGCTGCCTGGCACCATAGCCCTTGAAGTCCACCTTGCTCCAGAAATTCTAGTCATTTAATCTGATTTTTTTTTTTACCCCTTCATATTCTGAACCTTGTGGTGGCCCTAAAAGGGTTGCCAGTTCACTCTTACAACTTTGCCCCAGGCTAAAGAAAGAACTTACTCCACCCTGTGCTCTCTCCGACACTGCCTTTGGCTTCACAAAAGTGAGTCCTCTTAGTGTTAAAAGTGTCATGGTTCCAGATACAAGAGATGTGGTCTAAGCCTCACTGCAGTGGCTGCTGGGAGCAACGAGCTCCTTCTGGTGTATGCCACATAGATATATACTAAAATATTCCAATTTATTTTTTCTCATACTATTACCACTGAATAGTAATTCATCCAGTGATGGGTAAACTTATTTCCTTTTCTTTATTTCTCCCCTGCCCCACAAATGTCTACTATTCTCTAGGTGGCATACAAAAAAACAAATGATCTTGAGGTATCTGATTGTATGACCTCTAGACCTTTACATTCTGACTTTGAATTACACAGAGAGAGAGAGAGAAAGAAAGAGAGAGAGAGAAAAGACAAAAAAGAACCCCCAATCTAACAGTAAAATTGCTTCCTCATAAAAAACTGTATAGATTATCTTTGGTTATTTTGATAAGGGTTATAATCAGCTTAAAATTAATTCATTCAAAATTCAACAATTATTTAGTGAGAACATACCTATTACATGCCATATAGGTAAAGTATCTGTCCTCATGATGTTTATTTTTAATTTAGGGAGATATTTAATAAATGAGAGAATGTTTTTTACAGCATAATAATTTCAGATAATGACACATGCTTGTGATGAATTCTATGATGACTCTTCCAGATACTCCTTCAGGTCTACTGTTCTTATTTCTCCAGCCACTGGGAATGCTGCAGCAGATGGCCCTCACGTCTCAGCCTCCTTTGGGAATTATTTTAAAAGAGTGTCAGTCGCCTTGCCATTTCTGGGGTAGTACATATCCAATAACTGGTCAACACAAAGGTATAAAGGATGAACACTTTACCTCCAGCACAGGACAACTCTGAAGGTCCATACCAGCTTTCTGTGAGGTCAGATGAGATCTTTGTTGAAACTATATCATAGCCCAGCTTCCTCTGCCCAATCTTGTTTCTTTCCCTTGCATTGGCACTGCCTAAAAAATTCCTGCTTACTAATCACTGCTTCAGTTTACTTCTTGGGAGTCCTGACCTGCAACAGTTAGTACTAGCAGGGGACCAAGGAAACACACACTGGATTAGAATTTGGGGTCTGGATTGCCTGATACCTTGCTAGGGATAAAGACACCATTACTGGTGGCAGAGATGAATGCTATGCATGGGCCTTATACAAGTCCACTGGCCAGCAGCAGAAACCAATGCTGAGTCCCCAATATAGCACCAACCCTTGACGATGCCAACCAGCCACCTGATGGCAAGTTAACCACAATAGACCTCTTCATCCCAGGAAGGGAAAGTGGCTCATTTGGACAGAAATAGAAATATATTCTGTGCTTGGGTTTGCCTTTCCTTCCCAGGAGGCTTCAGCCAACACCACTATTTGTGGGTTTACAGAGTAGTTGATGCATGGGCATGTGTACCTCATACACTGCATCAGAGTTAGGGACCTGCTTTCAAGAAAAGGGAATGCAGGAGTAGGTATGTGACCATGAGATCCACTGGTCCTATCACATACTTCACCATCAGAGGCAGCTGGCTTGGAAGAGTGATGAAATGGTACATTCAAGGCACAGCCGGAGCAGTAGCTTTGAGATTATACCTTGTGAAGAGG